GCGTCCAGCCTTCATGAGGTCAAGGATCTCATCTTCCACCTGTGCCCGGCAGGGCCCTCTACTCTTACATATTCAGCTGAAGCCCTGGATCCCTCCATAAGTGCTCCCAGGCTGGTGGTTAGGACCCTGGGAGCTGTGGTTGGTTGGTATTGTTGCTCTCCTCATGGTGCCACAAACCCTTTCAGCTCCTTCAGTCTTCACTCTAACTCCTCCATTGAGAACCTCATGATCAGTTCAATGGCTAGTTGTGAGCATCTGCCTCTGAATATGTCAGACTCTTGAAGGCCTCTGAGGAGACATCCATATCAGGCCCTTATCGGCATGTACTTCCTGACTTCCACATCAGCATCTACCTTTGGTGACTGCATATGGGGTGGATACTCAGGTGGAAAGGTCTTCAAATGGCCCCTCCTTCAGTTTCTGTCCCTCACTTTGTCTCCATGTTTGCTCCCTTGAGTATTTTGTTGCTCCTTCTAAGAAGAACTGAATCACCCCCACTTGGTCTTCCTTTTTTATGAGCTTCATGTGGCCTGTGAGTTGCATCTTGGGCATTTCAAGGTTCTGGGCTAATATCCAATAATCAGTGAGTGAATACCATGTGTGTTCTTTTGTGATTGGCTTACTTCACTCAGGATGATAATTTCTAGTTCCATCCATTTACCTAGGAACCTCTCGAATTCATTGTTTTTAATAGCTGAGTAATACTCCATTGTGTAAATATACCACATTTTTTGAATCCATTCCTCAGTTGAAGGACATCTGGGTTCTTTCCAGCTCCTGGCTATTATAAATAAGGCTGCTATGAACATAGTTGAGCATATGTCCTTGTTATATGTTCGAGCATCTTCTGGGTATATGCCTAGGAGTGGTATAGCTGGATCCTCAGGTAATGCTATGTCCAATTTTCTGAGGAACCGCCACACTGATTTCCAAAGTGGTTGCACCATCTTGCAGTCCCACCAACAATGGAGGAGTGTTCCTCTTTCTCCACACCCTCGCCAGCATCTACTATCACCTGAGTTCTTAATCTTAGCCATTCTGACTGGTGTGAGATGGAATCTCAGAGTTGTTTTGATTTGCATTTCCCTGATGACTAAGGACATTGAACATTTCTTTAGGTGCTTCTCGGCCATTCGAGTTTCTTCCATTGAAAATTCTTTGTTAAGCTCTATACCCCATTTTTTAATAGGGTAATTTGGTTGTCTGGTGTCTACTTTCTTGAGTTCTTTGTATATATTGGATATTAGCCCTCTATCAGATGTAGGATTGGTAAAGATCTTTCCCAATTTGTTGGTTGTCGTTTTGTCCTATTGACAGTGTCCTTTGCCTTACAGAAACTTTGCAATTTTATGAAGTCCCATTTGTCAATTCTTGATCTTAGAGCATATACCATTGGTGTTCTGTTCAGGAACTTTTCCCCTGTGCCCAAGTATTCGAGGGTCTTCCCCACCTTCTCTTCTATTAGTTTCAGTGTATCTGGTTTTATGTGGAGGTCCTTTATCCACTTAGACTTGAGCTTTGTACAAGGAGATAAGAATGGTTCATTCTTGAGATAATCATCTAAGTGTAATCATCTCTGATTTTTGAGATGTTGCTGACACAGTAGTAATACCATTACTTAATATTGTCATTGGTCACTCATAACAGATACCCTAAAAGGTAAATCCGTTAACTTTTTACCTGTGTAAAAGTGATGGAAGTCAATATTTTAATCAATAGCTTTTCTTCCAGTTATGAAGCAAATTTGTAGAAACAACACAAGTTTTAAAACAACAAAATCTACAATGCTACTAGTTAGAGATATGTTTTTCTTAAATTGAAAAATGTGTTCTTTTATTAATTTATAATGAATACTATATATTTAGATTATATTTCTCCTCCTCCTGAAACTCCTGAACTACTTTTTTATTAATCATTTTATTCATTTACATTTCAAATGATACCCCCTTCCCAGTTATGCCTCCACCAACTCCCCATTTCATCTCCCCTCCCCCCTCTCCTTTGCCTCTATGAGAGTGCTTCTCCATCCATTCACACATGCCTGCCTCACCCCTCTAGCATCCCCCTATACTGGGGCATCAAACCTCCCTCCCCTCCCACTGATGTCAGATAAGGCCATCCTCTGCTATATATGTATCTGGAATCCTGACTCCCTCTTTGGTTGGTGGTTTAATCCCTGGGAGCTATGAGTGGTACAGAATTAGTTGATATTGTTCTTCTTATAGGATTGCAATCCCCTTCAGCTCCTTCAGTCCTTCCCCTAGCTCTTCCATTAGGGTCCCCAGGCTCAGTCCAATGGTTGACTATATCTGCATCTGTATTGGTCAGGTTGCAAAACTTCCTATTGGCTCCTTTCTATAACTGACATATATTTATTTATGTATGGATACTTATGCATGCACATTCTATACACAGGAAATAAAACATTATCTAATAATCAATGATGTATACACCTATGTACACCTATATTTGCCACAGCATGTATGTGTATACATATGGACACACATAGTTATAAGTGTGTGATATAAAGCCAGCCTTCATTTCACTTACCTCTGATTTGCAGTGTCCTGTGAGTGTTTCTACATACTCTACCATACTACCATTTTAGAAGCTACATAACTTTCCATTTGTATGAGGGGAATTATCATTTTATTTGACTTATTTTGTGTTTTATTCATTGTTATTTTCAATTATTTTGCTATTGTAAAGAATGATGCGCTGGGAATCTCTGTAGATAAGTATTTAATATTTCCATGAGACTACTATTTTCATGAGAGGACAATCAAATCTTTTAAAAATCTAGATACTTAATGAAAAAGAGCTATAAGAATATTCCTTGTTTAAATGAATTCATATTGTTTATTTGTCTTTTTTGGTTATCTATATATCCAATTTAGTCATAGGTGTTTATGAAAAGCTAAAGTAAATGCTTCCAATTAGCATAAGATATAGAAAAATGTTTCCATAGGGAAAACAACCTGGAAGTAGAGTCTCCTGACTCATACATATCTTTGAATAATGCTGGGACTGTAGTGACTATTTAGAACATTCTCTACAAGGAGTACTATGGGACAAAAAGCTTTACAGACTTAGAAGAGAATTACAAGGATATTGGCTGCTGTGAGCTGTGAATACTCCAGAGTTTGCTTATGGACTTAGGAAGTGCCTTAGAATTGCTTTGGGAGATCAGCAAATCATTATAGAGTCTTTTTCAACCAAGTCAGACAATTTAGAGCCTTACAAATTATCTGATTGCTGTGTATTCACAGGGGATAAAGTAAATGCATCTGATTATGTTTTGCTGAAAGGGAAATTCTCTTATTACTGAGAA